AAAAACATATTAAAAAAATATAAACATATAAAAATGAAAAATTCTTAGAAGAACATATGGGATAACAAGTTCAATAAATAACGAAAGAAGTTCAATCAACCCTAATAAACAATGCCGGCATGCGTTGTTGTAGCGTTTTATTTTTTTATGAACGATTGATATGATGCTGTTGGAGCTCCGTAGATTAGAAGTTTCGGTCTGCCGTCCAAGTGCATGTCTAAGGACATCATCCTTCACCAGTAGTTTTCCTCTTTTCTCCATAAAAAAGGGAATTAGCTCTAGATCGTTTCTTTTTCTCTCTCTGCAAATGAAACAATCACAAGAAATAGTGGGTTTATTTTACTTCTCCTTACTTACTTCTTCCTCTTACTTTGGATGGTCAGATCCCCTCATGCCCTCCGCCCCTCCTTAGGATGGATGTGCATGTAGTGAAGCTACTTCCTCAATTGTCATTTGACTTACCGTGGTAAAAGCTTAGATCTTATGACTATATACGCACACACGATGAGTTTTCGTCATTATTGCGGTGCATAATCATGTGATCAAGGATTTGATTTGAATGAAAAGTTTGTGATCAATAATTTGACAAGCAAGCTATGGCTAGATGCCTAATCTCTCGAGATTATAACCTCATAAACTCATATTCAGTCACCAGTTTGTAACAGCTTGCTCACTCTTGAAAAGAGAATGACCCTCCATCGCTAAAGTGCTCGTTGAGCTTTCAAAGTCGCAGAGAAAGGTAGGAGGCTTCATGTTGAATTTTCCTGCTTTTCCAAAACGGGGCAACGGTGGTAGTAGTCACCAAATCAAATCTATTGCTTTTTATTTTTACTTCGGGCATAATCAAATGATTCAAATCTATTTGCTTGAGAAGGCAAAATAAGTGACTTTTATTGATTAAAAAAGGGGGGCTTTTTTAGGAGACTGACCACGTGGCTGTCTATCTTGTCAAGTTTGACATTTCGAGGAAAATTTCTTGTAATTTTTCCTGTTGAAGGAAAAGTGTGAACTAGATTGGATCAGACATTTAGTGCACCATCATTTCGAGGCAGACGAAAGTAGATGTTGGACTGTTCTTTCATGTCTTATGAATTTCTGATCGTACCATGATACACCAAGAAACAAAGGTTAAAAAGTACGTTCAAATTTCTACAGGCACAAGATAAGGTTATTGGCCCAGTTAAACCAGGGCCTGCAAGAGACCTTATGTGAAGCCTTACTTCAAAAGAAACGGATTATTTGGGCTTGGGTGGACGGAAATTTGGACATTACATTACTATTATTATTCTATATACTAAAGCAAAACCCTTTTTAACTGTAATCACTGTTTATTGTTATAATATTTTTATTTTTTTTATTTTCATTATTTTTTTTTACTAGACCCGTTGCCCCCATCCATACTGTTCATTTGAACGGTAACGACTTCCCTCCTTTTTTTTTTTTTTTTGTAAACATTGAATTTTAAAAAAAATTTCCATCCATTTACTGTTCACATGAACAGTAAACGCTTGCACCCTTTTTCTTTTTTTCTTTTTTTTTCTAAACATTGAATTTTTTTTTAATTTCTGTTTCTTAATAGTATTTGGTGTTAAAATTTTAAAAGAACCAACAATTAATTAGGTGTTAAAATTTTAAAGAAACCAACAATTTATTTCCTTTATTATTTATTTTTAAAATTTTAAAAAATAAATAAATAATAGTTAAATACAAAATTTTTTATTAAAAAATTATAATTATTTTTTACCATAAAAAAAATTATTAAATTAAAATAATTTTTCTAAACGATTTTATATATTTTATCCAACTCGCAAGCATAGCTCAAGTAAAAAATCTAATACTATATACTAAAGAAAAATCATTTTTCACCGCAAAGCAATCACTTGTTCATTGCTATATTACTTTGGCTTTTTTTGGTTTTTTAAGTTTTTATTTTTTTTTTTTTGCCAACACCTGCTCGGTCTCCCCCTCTTTTTTTACCCGTTTATTGTTCATTTGAATGGTAAACGGCTTGCCCTCTTTTTTTTTTTTTCTTCTAAACACTCATTTTTTTTTAATTTCCGTTCATTTACTATTCACATGAACAAGTAAACGGCTGGCCTCCTTTTTTTTTTTTTCCCCTAAACATTGAATTTTTTTAAAATTTTAATTTCTTAATAATATTAGGTGTTAAAATTTTAAAAGAATCAACAATTAATTGGGTGTTAAAATTTTAAAGAAATCAATAATTTATTTGCTTTATTATTTATTTCTAAAATTTAAAAACACAAATAAGAAATAGTTAAATATACATTTTTTTCATTTAAAAATTATAATTATTTTTTACCATAAAACAAATTATTAAACTGAAATAATTTTTCTATAGGATTTTATATATTTTATCCAATCGCAGCGTAGCGTGGGTAAAAAGTTTAGTATATACTAAAACAAAACGTAAAACTCGCTGAAGCATTTTTACTATAGATTGACTCGTTCATTTTTTTTTTTATTCCCTCTTTTGGCTTTATTTTCATTTTGGTGCTGCATTCCTCTTTTAGCTTTTTTTTTTTTTTTGATTCCTATTTTATAATTTTTTTTTTAATTTTGGTTATATATATATTTTTTTGCATTCCCTCTTTTGGCTTTTAGTGAGATATATTAAAACAAAACGTAAAACGACTATAGCATTTTTACTGTGAATTGACTCGTTCATTTTTTTTTTTCATTCCCTCTTTTGGCTTTATTTTCATTTTGGTGTTGCATTCCTCTTTTGGCTTTGTTTTCGTTTTGGTCCCTATTTTGTAACTTTTTTTATTTATTTTAGTCATACTTTTTTTTTCTCGCATTTCCTTTTTTGGCTTTTAGTGAATTTTATTTTCATTTTATTCCCTGCTTTATATCCTTTTTTTTCTTTTGGTCACTTTTTTTTTTTTTTTTGCTGCATTCCCTCTTTTGGCTTTTGGTGAATTTTATTTTTATTTTAGTTTTGTTTTGTAACTTTTTTTTTATTTTGGTCATTAAAATTTTATTATATTTGATTTTTGTCCCCATAAATATTAAAAATTTATTATATTTGATTTTTGTCCCTATAATAAATATTTTTTTTTCTTGCCTTTGAGTAAGAATTTATGTTCTTTTTTTGTTTCAATTTTGTGATATGTTTTTATTTTATTCATTAAATTTTTATTATATTTGATTTTTATCTTTACCATACTAAAACTAAATAAAGTTTCACTATCTTAAGCTTTTTTTCTATTATAATTTCTATTTGGTGATTTTTGCTTTGTTTTGGCTATTAAATTTAGTAGAATTTTATTTTTATTTTAGTCCCTATTTTGTAATTGTTTTTTATTTTGATTATTAAATTTTGATTATATTTGATTTTTTTCTTTACAAGGAACTATTTTTTTACTTTTAGTAAAAAATTTTGTTATGTTTTGGTTTTTATTTTGTGATCTTTCTTTTATTTTGATCATTAAAGTTTTATTATATTTGATTATTATTCTTTCTACACTAAAATTAAATATAGTTTCACTATTCTAGTTTTTTTTTTGTTTTTTTGTTTTTTTTGTTTTTTGCATTAGTAGAAAACATTTTCAGCTTTAGTAAAATTAAATTCTATCATGTTTTACTTTTGTTCCTACCTTATGTATAATGAATTTTTTTTTAGTCTTATAGTTTATAAGTATTTTTTTTTTAGTGAGATTTTTTTAATTTATTTTGATCCTTTTTTAATGATCTTAACTTTACAAACTTTCATTTAATTAAGCATACAGCAAAATATGAGATATATGTTTTGGTTCTTTTTTTAAAATTTCTTTCACATGATCCTTTTAAATAATTAATTTTAAGTTTTATATTTTATATAAATAAATAAGAATGTTTTATAGTTCACCCTGTAGCAACGCTCATGATATATGTTAGTCTTTTACTATGATGGAGTGGTGGACTAAAATCCTATTCTATTCTTCTTCTTTATTTATTTATTTATTTATTTTGAACTGATTAAGTTATCTTTCATTAACATATACATTAGCCCGACACCCCCCCCCCCCCCCCCCCCCCCCCCCCCCAACTAATTATGATGTTCCTCTTCTTCTTATTTTTTTGACAAGCAAAGATTATCAGGTCTGATCCTCCTTCAGGCAATGCTATTTATCAAATTTATTTTTCTCTTTTCAGCTAGAACCAATTTACTCTGTTATGGAACTTGTCTTCAAGTTTTGCGGAGTTATTTTACTAATTATTATATGGTGCATCGTTTTGTGTGTATACACCAATCATTTATAAAAAGGTGAAGGTTCGTCAATTCATTTTCATAAAAATAGATGTAATAAGTTTTATTTTTCGAGATTTGTTTTGATTTATATTTGTTTGAAGGTACTTTTAAATTAGTTTATACTTGAATGAACGTAAACTCTCTTTTTGAACACTCTTAAGAAAATACTAATTACATGGACTTGATCTATTAAAAAAATAATAATAATACTAACTCAAAAGTTTGAATTTTAAAAAATAAAAAAATAAATATTTTTAACTACCAAATCAAATCGTCAAACCTATTTGTATCTTTTCCTACAAATGCAAGACAGCTAGTATTGACAAATTGGGACTAACAAATCATCGGACTATACGAACATTCTCTGTTACTGGGGCTAAAAAGAGACATCCACCCCTTAGTTATTGCTGAATCAAACTAATCCCTATGCCAGACAAAGTGAGTTCAGTTTCACTATGCAAAGGACGAGTTTTCAGAGAGGAAAGGCAACAGGGCCTTTCGATTGTATTTCTTGTTTTCCTTTCCTTGAAATGGGCTCATTATCTTTATGGGTTATGTAGTAACAAGACGTAGCCCACCTGGTCCAAAGTGTCTACCAGCATCTTAATGAGCCCAGCCCATTTCACGAAACTTCCATGCCTATTTAATTTGCTCTGGCCCACAGCCTAGTGCGCCTGGATACAAAATAGTTGTAGCTTCATCATTTTGCGCAACTCTCTCTCCCTCTCTCTCATCGATTCTAGCAATGGCAGATGCGGGAAACTTCTCCAATGAAACCAAACCAACTTTAGTCTTCGTATATGGTACGCTGAAAAAAGAGTTTCCAAACCACCACCTCCTTCAAGAACTGATGTCCCAAAAAGAAGCCGCATACGCAGGCACCTGCATGACCCACCAACCACACCCTCTCGTTATTGGGCCCTATGGGATCCCTTACATGCTGCACCTCCCTGGCAGTGGTGGTCACCCAGTCAATGGCGAGCTATACTCGGTGTCAACTCAGGGATTCGTTCGACTCGATGAGTTGGAGGGCACGAGTGTTGGGCACTACGAGAGGCGTCCAATTCAGGTGATCATGCGAGAAAAGAGTGAATCTGAGGAGGGCGACGGTGTCGCTTTGGTGGATGCTGAGGCGTATTTTGCTCACGGGAGTTTTGGAGAGAGGATGTGGGTTAGGTGTGGGAGAGTTGGGTTGGGTGAGTATAGTTTGGAAAGACATGCGTGTGATTATGTGAAGAAAGTGAATAGGGCTGAAGGGAGGAGCTTTCTAGATGAAATGGAATTGTTCTTGTCCGGTAGTGCTTGAAACCAAATTAAATTTTATGATTTCATTTCTTTTTGGTTATTTTCATGTAATAGCAAACTTTATATGATTATCCAAATAAATGAGAAACAATATCCGATGAAGCTAACTTAATTATGTCGCGCGTTTCATGTGTATGGTCTTCATTCACTGATAATAATAACAATAATGATATATCTCTATATGATGTTGCCCTTTCGTTCTTTTATGGAACAATAATTGATTCTTCATGGGTGCAAACTAATTAGAATATAAAATGATCAAATTAAGAAAACAAACCTTTTTAAATTGTGTTTGTTGAACGGACGATTTTATTTTATTTTTTTAATACAAACTGCAGAGAAAAATCAAATTAATTAGTTATGCACAGTCATGCACATTAGAAAAAACGGTTTAATAGCAAAAATCACTCATTTTCTATTACAATTTGATTGTAAATTGTAAATTTTAGACTTTTATTATTAATTTGAGTAATTTGAATCTCAAAATATTGATTTTTTAGCAAATATTATCCTAATTATTTTCTCCATTATTTAGTTGACCGTAAAGCGAAATGCTTAAATAATGTCGTGTAAGCATTTTATTGTTAATTTTTGTTTAAAAAGACATTATAAAACTTGTTATTATTTTTTCAATGTAATTATAATTTAATTTTTTCTATTTAAAATTTTCATAAATTAATGCCTTTGATTTTTCATAGTCAATCAGATTGTTATTTGTATATAATTTTTTAATTTAAAAAAAATATTTTTTATGTAGTATTATTATCCTTTAAGACAATCAACTTCTATAATTAATAAAATACAATATCTATTAGTTGAATTTAATCAATTGAAATTATCAAATAATTAATTTTAACTTAAATTTTTCTTTTGTAATGCCAATAAACTTATTCTTGTGATTGCCTATCATTAAATTTTAAATATAGTTGTATTTATTTTATAATTTTTTATCTTTAATTTTTTTTTATAGGATTTTGTATTATCGCAATTCATTCGGATATATAAGATGCATTTAAAATGGTGAGAGTTAAAAAACCATTTTTAAAACTTTTCTAATTTTATTTTATTTTTAGTTTTTTAAAAATAAGTTCAAAAAGTGAAAATTCTTTTTCGTGGAGAATCAAAAGAAAGTTTAGTAATAAATTTAATGACTTTTTATTTATTTATAGGTAAACGAGTGAAAAAAAAATCTCTCTTGAAAAAATAGAAGAAAAGCATTAGTAAAAAAAAAATTCTAGTGATCTAAAAAATCTAAAATCTATCTTTATCTAAGCAATTTTAACATTTTTTAAAAAAATTAATGGTAAAAAATAAAAAATAATAAAAGTAAAATGCTTACACAATATGGTTTAAGCATTCCATGTGATGGTCAACTGATACAAATAACGAAAAAGGGAATTTGAATAACATTTGCTTAAAAATCAATATTTTAGAATTTAAATTATAGACATTGGTAATAAAAAATCTGAATTTGTCAAATTACAATTGAATCGGTGCAATTTTTTCCATTAAATCATGAAAAAAAAGAAGAAGATTTATCATATTTAGATATAGATCGTATTTTGTTAGATAGATTAAAGCAAAAAAAAAAAAAAAAAGAGAGAGAGAGAGAGAGAGAGAGAGAGAGAGATAACATAGAATCCCTAGTCAAAAGGACCAAAGAATTAACCAAGTAGGAGGATGAAATCTAATGACATAATAACTTTCCTTTAAGAAATTAAGAAGTTCTATTTTTTACTTAAATAAGAATGAAATCATTTGAAGGACTAATTAGTGCACAATTGCCCTCTAGATTATCTTTTCCAAATGAAAATTAAAGGATATGCAATTTACAAACATCTAGTATATGATGGTATGTAGCCTATTCTATTAGTAGTTTAATTGGTTTATTATATCCTTATTGTTTACAATATGTTTAATTGAATGCGATGAATTATGTAATGTAATGACTCACCGTATTACTATATTTTGTTTTATAATTTTCAAAATTATAATGTAATAGATCATTACATTTTTTTTTAATTATATTATAGATTTAATTATATTGTATTATATTATATAAATGTGCTATTAGTATTATGGCATCGTGATTAAGTTGTTTAAAAAATAATACATTTTTCACCAAAAAATGAAAATTATGTCCGAAGGTATTAAGAAAATAGATATCTATTAAATGTTGTAAATATTTCAAAAGGTTATCAAAACCTTTTATCCCACATTGTTAAAGAAGAAGCATGTGATAACACTTTATTAAGAGAAGTATGTTATGGGGTTGTAAAAGGCAAATAAGATGGATTGAGCTCGCGCACAAACGAGTCGAGCCAAGCTAATGTAAAATGGCTTGTTTACCCCCTACGTGCAATAACAATGCCCAATCCAAGCCTCTTTTTTAGCTCACCAATTTAAGCTTTTTGGCTTAAACTTGGACTTATTTAAGATAAATCCTATTTTTTACTCGTCATGGAACTAGTCCATTATGATAGTTTGTCGGTCTAGATTTTTGGTGATATTCGTTAATTTTGCTCCACCATTATCCCTACCTTCTCTCACTCGAACCAACCTAAATTAGCATATAAATACAATCTATATTGCTAGTATTGAACACACAAAAATCCTTTCTCCCTCTCTCGCCTCATAGTTCTTTGCTAGGTTCTTACTATTTCTACTCCTAGTTTTAGTTCCGGAAGGGTTTGTTTTATCCCGAAAGATACGAAATAATATCCTTAAGGATAATGATTACACTACTCCAACCATAACTGTCCTTTGCTTGCTTTTTATTTTTTTTAATCCAACAATCTTAAGGATATTAGTTACTATTATGGATGCTCGTTGTCATCACCGTCGCCATCACCAACACTGCTTTTGTCGACGCTATTATCGCTAATGGTAAAAGTCTTTTTTTGTTCGAATCGGAACGGAACCTACTACAACCCATGGTGGAGTCTCCGTAACTATTATGCCTTTAATTCTAATGATTTCATTTTCCAAATCATTGCTCAACATCTCTAAAATAGAAGCCTTTGGTGATCGAACTTCAAGAGATGGCAGGAACACATTTACTCCATCCTCAACATGTATGCTATGACCTAGGCGTTATTCGACCTCAAAATTGGTGCAAATGTAGAAGCATGGATTCATGCCAATAACTTATGTAGGCACATTATAATCAATACATTATCCAATAACCTATTCGATGTTTACCGCACTTATAATGAGGCAAAACAATTTAGGAGTCAATGGTTACCAAGTACACTCGTTGAAGTTGTTGGAAAACAAAAATTTGTTATTGGAAACTTATACAAATGGGAGATGATAAATGACAAAGGCATCAAGGCTCAAATCAATGAATATCACAAACCGAAGACCCGAAGGTAGAAAACATCACTTTACTAGAAGACGTTGTGGCTAGGCTTTTAGTTAAAAAGCTACCGGACTCTTGGAGTGATTACAAGAACTAGCTAAGCCACAAGTGAAAGCAATTATCTCTTATTGACTTAATCACTCATATAAGAATTGAAGATACTAATAAAAAAGATGTTCAAAATTCTAAAGCTATGGAATTGGCTTTAAAGGTAAACTTGCAACAAGTTAAGTCTCAAAAAAGAGGTTTGCTCATGAAAAACCTAACTATAAGCCTAAGTTTGCTAACCCCATCTTAAAAAGAAAGGCAATTACTTTGTTTGTGGGAATCCCGACCATTATGTTGCTCAATGTAAGAGGAGAGTGAGAAATGAGAATCCTTATAAGGTAAATCTTATCGAGGGAGATGACATAATTGTCGCTGTAATTTCTCAAGAAAATCTTGTGGCAAATATAAGAGACCGGGTGGTATACTCTAAGGCTTCTAAGCATATTTGTGCAAATAAAAATTTGTTCTCCTCCTACACTTCTATAAGGGATGAAGAAGTGGTTTAGCTCGGACAGTCTCATACTACAAAGGTTTTAGGGAAGGGCAAAATCCAATCGAAGCTCACTTCGCCTTGAACAAGGTGATCATGTTCCAACAATTAGAGCAAATCTTATTTTTGTGGCTCTACTGGGAAAGAATGGGGTTAAAGTTTCATTTGAATTTGACAAAATTATTATGAACAAAAATAATATTTTTGTTGAAAAAGGCTATCTTAGTTAGGGCCTCTTTGTAAATAATATTGATTCCGTTATGAATGAGAATAATGCATCTTCTTCTACTTACTTGATTGAATCCGTTGATTTGTGGCCTACTAGACTAAGACATGTTGGTGTTTTTTAATATCCAAAAAATACAATCCATTGGTTTGATATATGGAGCTAACTCTTATATGGATAAATGTGGTATTTGTGTTGAAACAAAATCTACATGAAAACTTATGCACATGTACATAGAGAATATGAACTACTTAGTTTAATCCACTTTGATTTAAAAAACCTAAAACAAACTATGAATAGAGGGGTAATAGATATAATATCACCTTTATAGATGATTGTTCCGGATATGCAAAGGTATATTTGTTGAGAAATAAAGATGAGGCTTTTAACATGTTTCTATTGCATGAAAATGAGGTAGAAAATCAACTTAGTATAAAGATTAAAAGAGTTGGATCAAATAAAGGTGGTGAATGTATGATGTTTGATGATTTTTGTGAGAAGGAAAGAATAATTCATAAAATTACCCCTCCTTATTCTCCTTAGTCTAGTGGTGTAAAAAATAGAACTTTGAAGACAATAATGAATGTTATGCTTGTTAGTTCTTTTACACCCGATAATTTATAGGGTGAAGCAATTCTATCCATATGTCATTTATAAAATAGAATTTCTTATAAGAAAACTGGTATGACTCGATCCGAACTATGGAAAGGGCATTCTCCTAATTTAAAATATTTGAAAGTTTGGGGTTATCTTGCTAAGGTTATGCTTCCTAATCCTAAGCAAAGGAAAATTGGGTGAAAAACTTCGAATTGTATGTTCATTGGTTAAGCTCAAAATAATGCTTTATATGGATGTCTAGTATTGAAAAGTGATATT